TGTCACATGGAAAGCAGAAGCAGCTGGCCACCATGATCCCCAAGTTCTGGGACCCAAACCCCTTGTCCACCGCTGGTCTTCAGGGCCTAGAATCATCACATGGTGGTGTATCCTCCAGCTACAGGGCGTCTCCAACGGTGGCACACTCTACTCTGGTAATACCATTCCCTTATGTGCTTGGTGGTTTTCTTTAAAATGACTTCTTTGAACCTAAATAAATTCATCTTGAAAAGTAACATTGTGTAACTGCTGTAAATGTGAGAGCATTTTAGTCCACTCGAGACAAACATTGCTTTTCAATTGGAACTGGAGACAGCTGCCTGCCTGATGCGTTGAGCCTTGGGTTTACTCTCTTGTTGGAGAGAGAGAGAGAGAGAGAGAGAGAGAGAGAGAGAGAGAGAGGTGGGGGGTGAAGACCAGCAAGGACGGAAGCCAATTGAATCAGGAAGATGATAAGATAACTGAAAAGGGGTGCCTTTCTCTTCTGGCAAGTCATTGCTGTTGAAGGTCCTGGTTCAGGAGAGCAATGGATCCGACTATCATGTCTTACACATTTGTCAGCATGGGGCAGTCAACAGAGTGACTCTCGCCTACTAACACACTGTGGGGCTCAGGGAGGCTGATCCCTGACAGCGAGGCCTCTGAGGACTGACACCTCTTGTTGAGAGCAGCTGGGTTCAGCCAGATGACCTGGGCTTCGCCAGGCGAGTGGCCAGGCCGAGTTCGGGGGAAAGTGGACTGAAGGCAGGGTGTTCTTGGAGTGCCAAGGTCATGGCAATACGTGAGGGGCAGCCCCAGGAAAGGCCGGCTCACTCCCGTTCTCCCAGCCATGGCTCTCGGAAGACCCCAAAGGGCCGGGGAAGGGGGCGTTGGCTGCTGTCCCCTAGAAGAATGTGGGGGAAGAGAATCCTTGTTGGATGCCCTCAGGGTGGCTAGGCAGACAGCCCCCTGTGTGCTGACCATGTCACAAAAGAGAAAGGAAACGTCTCAGAAGCCACATGAGACGTGCTGAGGGTGGGCAGAGGAGGTGAGGACAGGGTGCTGGGGCAGCGAGTGGAGTAGGGCGAGCATCCGGCGTGGAGAGAGGAGGAGGCGCCAGCACGCACGGATGGGACCCACTGCCAGGCACAGGGTGGGGTCTAAGGCTGTGTAGGTGATGCTCATGCACTGACGTCACTCTGGCCTCCCTCTATTCCAGCAGTGTCCAGCCCACTGCAGCCCCCACAATGGCTTCTTCACTCCCCGGGTGGGAGAGGTCCCAAGGACCGGGGTCTGCGTGGGTGCAGGCCGGGAGGAGGGAGCGGAGATGCAGCGGTCGGCCACTAGGCAGCTCCACAGGTGGCATGGAAAGAGTCCCCAGGAGTGACATGCCCAGAAGTGACTGGTCCCAGGGCTCAGAGTACATGCCTATTGAAAGGGTTTAGCCTGCCTTTGGAGACCATCGCCATAGCAGGGACTTGTGCGTTACTGAGTTTGGGAGGAAATTCCAGGCTTTCTTTGAAGAACATCTGGCCCTGGGGGGAGGGGGAGGGACATGCCGGAGGAAGCAGGCTTTGGCACGGATCCCCAGCCCCGGCTTCTTTGGTAACTAGGGAGGAGAGGGAGCGGGGCAGGGGCCATGGGGAAGGTGCTTGTAGCTTCTGTCCTCTGTCACCAGCGTGGGGGAGCAGTGAGTATTTGGACAGATATGACCTTGGGGTTACCTCACTGTGTCCCCTTGGCTTGGCTTCTCTGTCCCAGCTGGGAGCCCAGCCAAGAATGCTTGAAAGAAATGACCTTAGATGACAAAGTCCTACAACACTGGTCCATGACTTTCCCAGGGGAATTCCCTCCCCATGTTTTCCCTTCCCCTAAGGATGTTGGTGTCAGCTCCCAGGGCAGGGCGTGCGTGTGCATGTGCGTGTGTGCAGAATAAGGGAAAGGGTAACACACATTCACTAATACCTGTCACCTGGGACAGGATGTGATGACTGGCGCAGGGGCAGTCCTGAGGTCTGTGTGTTCTGGAGGGGGACCCTCACGCCCATGTGCAGTGGTCAGTGCAGAGAGAGATGGGGTGTGCTGGGGAAACATGCGCACTGTGGGAGGAAGAAAGGTCCCCACACAGGAAACACCGAAACAATCTGCAAACATCTCTCTCCTCCCCTGAGCCCTTCCCCAGGCTGTCAGCAGCCAGGAGGGACCTGGGACATCGGTGCAGACACCCTCCAGCTCCCTGGAGTGCCCAGGGCAGAACATGGGACTGGACTGAACCACCGGAGAGCAACGCCAAGGCTTCAAGATGAGAGAGTCAACCCAACGAGGTATTTACTTTGCTTGTATTCACTTGGATATATTTCAATTCAACGTTCATTTGGAGACTCTACATGCTATTCAGCATTCTGCTCGGCTCTGGAAGGAGGTGAAACCAGCTAAGGGATAGAGATAAAAAAAGAACAAGTAATTCCAGCTTTATTTCAGTCAATACATTTTGCTAAATGTGTCACAAAATGTGACTTTAATGCTTTTATGAGGCCTTCATGTAAATAAATTCACATCCCCCGCAAAAAAGAAGTGAGATGGGAGGGTTTCGTTTTGCTTTGTTTTGTTTAAATTTTTTCATTTCTTTAATTGCCCGAGAATTTTTTCTTCTACAAAAACAACATCACTTTGCAAAAGGCATACAAAAATACAGTATATAGAAAAGACTGCTCCCAGCAAAATACCCAACAGCAGCTTGTAAAATACAAGCTATTCAGATGAGACATGGGTAAGCTATGTCTTTCCTGTTCTGCAAAGACAGTTCCAGAAGTCAATTGGCTCCCCAAAAGCATGCTTCAGAAAATAGACTTTTCCCAAACTTGCACTGGGCTTCTCTGGGGCCAGGAAGCCACTTCAAAAGCAGACCATCGTGCACAATATGTTTGGAAGCAGGTGGCTTTCCAGAGCCACAAACAGAACGCCACCATCCTCCCGTCCCCCCCTTTCAAACCCACAGCCAGCAGACACCCGCTGCCCTGGGCAGAGTTCTGAAGAGGCTGGTCCTTGCTCCAGACTAGGCTTAGGGGCTCCTGAGGTTGCCCATAAGACACCTGTAGGCTTGCGTGCCTTTCGCAGGCTGGAGGCTGCACCTGGTATCCACTTGGAGGTGCCACATCCAGCTGGGGCAGAATCCATCATGATGCACTAAGCTGAGCTCCTGGAAGCTCCTTCAGAACCGCAGGAAGCCAGGCCACTCTCTGGGGCACTGGATGAGTCCCAGCCGCTCTCCCAGTAAGAACTTCAGTAAGGCCCAGATTCTGGGAAAGGGGTCAGACTCATGTCAGGCTGGCCAGGGGCCCAGGGACAGCTGCAGAGACACAAGCTCCTGGAGGTGCACGAGAGGGCCAGGTGGGCATGGTTCCAGTGGAACTGCCACCTCGCAGCCCGGGATCGAGCTGGGAGGGACCTGGGAAAGAGGAAGCAGTGCAGTTCCCACTGCTGCGCCGCCTGACATCGGCCTTGAGAAAGAATTCCAGGATGGAAGACACCTGGGCTCACAGCCGGGACCCAAGCTGCCCCCAGCCAGGACCCATTTCCCTGGGTCTAGGGGAAACATTCCTGACCCGCAGGAAAGGGTGCCCTAGAGCCCACTGCACGACAAAGACGGGGAAACAAAGATGGCCCGGTGAGGACAGAATGGTCTTTCCCTCCGAGGAAAGGACCCAAGAATCTAGAGGCCAACCAAGTGCTGTCCCCAAGGTCACAGCACTGAGTGGGAGGGGTGTCATTTAGCATCATTATATATGTATATTTTATTTTTATTTAAAACAAATTTTTAAAATATATTTTACAGAGAGAGGAAAGAAAAGAGAGAGAGAAAGATCAATGAGAGAGAACATCGATTGGCTGCCTCCTGCATGCCCCCCACTGGGGATCATGTGCCCACAACCTGGGCATGTGCCCTGACAGGGAATCAAACCGGTGACCTCTTTGTGCATGAGTTGATGCTCAACCACTGAGCCACACCGGCCAGGCTTTCATATATGTATGTATATTTTAAACATTGGCGTTGTTCTTCAGAGACATTTAAAAAACAACAACTTCAGTGACAGAACAGATACCTGCAGTTTCCATCCAATGGGGCAGAGTCTTCCCATTATTGGTGATAATAGCTCCTAATAGTGGCTCTTGGGACCCTTGTGAATCTGTCCCTTGGGTAAGAAGCGGACATTATTTATAGCACATATGTGTTATATTTTACACAAATATATCTATTTTTTTCTTTTCAGCCATCCTCTCTTCCCCCTTCCTGAGATGAGAAGTCTGGGTGTAGGAGGCTGTGATGGTTGGGGTTAGACTTGATTCCCTGCAAAAACAAGAAGGTAACACCCCTCACCAGGGCTCTGGCTTGCATCAGTTTTTCCTTGATACTTACAGTAAGAGCACACGCATTTACACATGGAAAGGTTTCCGACTCCTCAGCTACTGGAGACGGCCTGACAGGGAGGTCCTGGTCCACGCTGATCAAGTCAACGAGCTTGTCTTCACCCAGGACAGCCCATGAGTGTCCTGAAACAGGGAGCCTCAGTGTAGCGGCCAGGCCCAGCTGCCCAGCATCACCCCAGAGGAGCCAGTGGGAGCATCCTTTCCCAGCCTCGAGCTCCTCCAGAGAGAGACACCTGATGCGGGCTGCGGGCCCCTACAACGTCCACCACCTGCTGCCTAGCACCTGTCAGGCGTGTCTTCAGAGCTGGTGAGCGAGGCAGAGCCCAAGGCTCCTCAGTCAGCTGCCTGCCTGAGAAGCCAAAGGCGCCAGAGAAGACACGGTGCTCCCTTGAGTCAGGGAAGAGGCAGAGCTGGGTTTCCAGGTTTCCAAGGATGTAAGCCCTTATTTTGTGCACTGGCTGCAAAGCATTCTGGGACCTACTGTCCAGACTGTCCTGCCGTAACCAAAAGGAGCAAATTACTAAGGGGGAGAGGGAAGGATAAAATATAAAGCCGGGTCTTTGTAAGACAGAGCAGTCGGGCTTTTTCATCAGTTAGTAGCCACTGAGGTACAAGGTTCTTTTTTGCTGCTGCTGCTGCTGCTGGCATCCGAGCTGCGTCTCCTCCAGGGCACCCTCTTCTCGCCCTGCCGACGCCTCGCTCAGGACCCTCACGCTGCAGGCCTGGGAGCAGCTGGCCAGGGTGGGTACTGGGTGCCGCGGGGCCAAGAACCTTTGAATGGAGAGCATTCTACCGTTTGTGCTCCAGGACGTTGTGGTTCTTCCTCTTGGTCACATCCTCAGTGTCAGAACTGACAGGTTTGGGGTGGCAGGGAGCCTGGCTTTCTGTAGGCAGGGGGCTCACAACCTCTTCATGTGCCTCATCTTCCCTTTCCTCTGGGCATCTCTCTCCAGAGCCTCTTCTTGGGGACCTCTCTGGAGCCCCTCCTGGGGAGCGGCTCTCTGGAGGAAAACGGGCTGTATCGCTGTGCTGTTGCTGATGGATAGAGATTGTTGACGGATGCAGATTGTTGACGGATGGAGATTGTTGACGGATGGAGATTGTTGACGGATGGAGAGGTGGAAGTGTTCCATGCAGGGGTCCAAAGCATCAGCTTCCACTAAGCTGATGACCGGCTTCCATTCACTTAGGGACTGTCTCTTCTCCACTGTCACGATGTTGGTTTCTTCACCCCCTAGACCTTAGGGCTCTCGGACCCTAAGAGGTTGGGTATTGGGCTCGTCCAGAGGACAGGGGACAGCAGGCTTGGAGGCTGGGAGCACAGTCCCAGGCAGCAGGTGCTCAGGGTGACTCTGGGCAGCCCAGCAGCCTGCCCACATGCATTTAAGTTTTCTTTTACTTTTTTAAAAAATTCATCTTTATTGTTGAATGTATTACAGATGTTTCTCCTTTTTCCCCCATTGACACCCTCCTCCCCGCTCCCGCCACCACCCCCCCGCTCCGCCTTACCCCACACTGTCGTCTGTGTCCATTGGTTATGCATATATGCATGGAAGTTCTTTGGTTTATCCCCCCCATCCCCCTTCCCTTTAAGGTTTGTCGGTCTAACAACCAATTTGTACTTCTTGATCCCTTCACCTTTTTCACCCATTTCCCTCTCCCCCCTCCCACCTGGCAACCAACAAATGTTCTCTGTATCTATGAGAATGTTTCTGTTCTGCATGTTCATTTTGTTTGTAGATTCAATTGTCGATAGATATGTATTTATTGCCATTTTTTTGTTCATATTTTTGATCTTCTTTTTCTACAAGAAGACCCTTCAAATTTTCATATAATACAGGTTTGGTGGTGATGAACTCCTTTAACTTTTTCTTGTCTGGGAAACTCTTGATATGTCCATTGATTCTAAATGATAGCTTTGCAGGACAGAGTCATCTTGGTTGTAGGTTCTTGCTTTTCATCACTCTGAATATTTCTTGCCACTCCCTTCTGGCCTGCAGTTTCTTTTGAGAAATCAGCTGAGAGTCTTATGGGAGCTCCTTTGTAGGTAACAAACTGCTTTTCTCTTGCTGCTTTTAAGATTCTCTCTTTGTCTTGAACCTTTTGCATTTTGATGATGATGTGTCTTGGTGTGGGCCTCTTGGGGTTCATCTTGTTTGGGACTCTGTGCTTCCTGGACTTGTATGTCTGTTTCCTTCACAAGTAGGGGAAGCTTTCTATCATTATTGTTTCAAATAGGTTTTCAATTTCTTGCTTTCTCTCTTTGCCTTCTGGCACCCCCATAATGTGAATGTTGACACACTTGAAGTTGTCCCAGAGGCTCCTTACATTGTCTTCATTTTTTGGATTCTTTTTTTTTTTTTTTTTGTCGTTCTGATTGGGCATTTTTTGCTTCCTTATATTCCATATCGATGGTTTTCTTCTTGTCTTTGCCTACTCTACTATGAATTCTCTGTAAATTACTCTTTATTTCAGTTAATGTCTCCTTCATTTCTGACTGGTATTTTTGTATGCTCTTTAGGCCCTACTAAGTTCATTGAAGTTCTCACTAAGTTCATTGAACATCCTTATAAGCAGCCTTATCTACACCTATTAGATTGTTTATCTTCATTTCATTTAGTTCTTTTCCTGGAGTTTTGTTCTATTCTTTCATTTCAAACATGTTTCTTTGTCTCCTCATTTTGGCTGCCTCCTTGTGTTTGTTTCTATGTAGTAGGTAGAGCTGCTATGTCTCTTGGGCTTCCTAGGGTGGCCTATTGTTGTAGGTGTCCTGTAGGGTTCAGTGGCACAGCCTCCCTGGTCTCCCAGCTGGGCCCTTGAGGTGTACCCCTCGTGTGGACACCCTTCTGTTGTAATTGAGTCTTAATTGCTGTTGGCACATCAATAAGTAGGTTTTACTCAGGCTGATCAGCTGCAAGGACTGGCTGTGCCCACTACCCACTGACCTCTGACTACTTTGGATGATCAGCTGTGCAGGGGCCCACCACACAGAGCAAGACTCTGGTACCCACTGAGTCTACTCATTGAGTGTGTCATTTGTGGAGGTGGTTGGGTGGTGGTGTTTCGATGTGGTCTGAAGCTGTCCACTGGGTGTGCTGGCTCTGGGACAAGGTCACTCTCTGCCTGTGTTCTATCCTGGGGCCACCTGGCATAAGCTACAAAGTGATCTAAAGATGGCTGCTTCTTGTGCTGGGCTTGGAGGTGCCCAGGCAAAGCCAAGTTGTGAACCAAGGCTGGTTGCTTCTAGTGCCAGGCCTGGGGCCACTTAAAGAGAGGTATGGGGCTGACTGAGACCAGATGCTGCTTGTTTGAAAGAATTTAGGAAAACCTGAAGCAGGATCCAAGACAGGCCAATCCTATGGTAAAGCAACTGGCAACAGCTTGGGTGGGCTTGAAAGCAAGTGGGGCGGGGCCTCAGGGAATCACCAGGGTGGGGCAACCAGTGTGAGCCAGGTTGCTGGAGTCCCAGATATGGCTGCTGTGTGCTGGCCTTGTGGGGGAAGAGCTCACCAAAGGAACCAAGGCCTCTGACAGCATGTCTGTCCAGGAGAAAGCTGTCTCTCCAGCCGTTGCCCTAATGCCAAACAACTCATTTCTTCTCCGTATGTCTCTGGTGCCTTTCAGGCTGCCTCCCCAATGCTGGAGCCTGGAGGGTGCGAGTCCGAGTAAGTCTGTGTGCGGACCCTTTAAGAAGAGCTGCCTGGGGCTCCAGCCACCTCAGCCTCCCTCAGCCTCAGTTCCCGCTGGTTTTTACAGCCAGAAGTGATGGGGACTTCAATTCCCGGCACTGGAACCCTGAGCTGGAAGCCTGGTGTGGGAGGGGGACCCCTCACTCCTCAGGGAAGACCTTCACAGACGAGGTATTCTCCTGATTTTTATCTGCCATACATGGGTGTGGGACCAACTCGTCCACACCTCCGCCCCTCCTACCGGTCTCCATGTGGCCTCTTCAATTCCGTAGTTATAGGACTTTCATTCAGCTCGATTTCAGGCAGTTTTGAATGATGTTTGTTCTGTAGTTTAGTTGTAATTTTGATCCTAAATTTTATTTATTTATTTATTTATTTATTTATTTATTTATCCTCACCTGAGGACATTTTTTCATTTTTGTTCAGATAGAGTGGGAGGGAGAGAGAGGAAGTGAGAGAGAGAGAAACATCGACGTGAAGGGACACATCGAGTGGCTGCCACCCGCACAACCCCAAACAGGGCCGGGGACAAACTGCAACCAAGGTACGAGCCCTTAGCGGGAACTGAACCCAGATCTCTGTGGACCGCAGGCTGACACTCTAACCGCTGAGCCAAACTGGCCAGGGCCTAAATTTTATTTTCCAATCACAGTTTTTATTCAATATTATTTTGTATTAGTTTTAGGTGTACAATTAGTTTTAGGTTAGACAATCACATACTTTGCAAAGTGGTCCCCTGATATTTCCAGTACACACCTGGCACCGTATATAGTTATTACAATATTATTGACTGTATTCCCTATGCTGCCCTTTACATCCTCATGGCTAATCTGTAACTACCAATTTGTATTTTATCGAGTGCCTGTTATGCCCTTGGCCAAGCCCCCACCCTCAAGGTTCTCACCTTTTCACCCAGTCCCCCAGTCCTCCTCCCCTCTGGCAAATATCACTCTGTTCTCGGAGTTTGTTTCTATTTTGCTTGTTTATTTATTTTGTTCTTTATATTCCACATGTAATTGAAATCATATGGTATTTATCTTTTTCTGTCTGACTTATTTCACTTAGCATAATACCCTCTAGGTCCACCCATGCTGTTCCAAATGATAAGATTTCATAATTGCCCGGCCGGTGTGGCTCAGTGGTTGAGCGCCGACCCTGCACCAGCAGGTCGCCGGTTCGATTTCAGGTCAGGGCACATGCCCAGGTTGTGGGCCAAATCCCCAGTGGGGGGCATGCTGTGTGTATGAAACATCCCAAGAAGGTATAGTTAATATACAATTTACCGTAGTATAATTCATAGTTTCATTGCCTGAAAAATTAAATGCCCTAATGTGTCTACATAAGGATACATTCAAATAATGAAAAGGGAAGGTTTTCCTCCCATGAAAATAAGTCCGAGACAGAGGAGCCTGCTATAGGAAAGCTTTGCAGACACCCCTTCTGTGTGCGACCCGTGGGTAAGCCCCCTTACACTGCAAAGGCAGTGTCCAGGTTCCAAAAATGTCAAACTGAAGCTTCCCTCCTTCGGAGCAGCTGTGTGCTGTGTGCTACGCGCATCCCAGTGGCGGTGGATACAGTGTTGCAATATCACACATTGTTGGGGGGCCACGGGCCCTGAGAACCTTGAGGGTGGGGGCTTGGCCAAGGGCATAACAGGCACTCGATAAAATATTTGCCAAATCAACGAGTGAATGAATGAAGGCATGCCAGGTGCTCAATTTTCCCCGTGCAGTTTCTAAGACCCCATTCAATCCTTAAGAAGTATTTACAAGATATGAAAAGATATAATAACTAGACTAGATGGATGTAGGAGGCTCAAACCCTCAATTTTTAGCTAAATGCATGAATCATCCGTGTAAAAAAAAAAAAAAAAAAAAAGGGTGTGTCCCATGATCTGGTTTGAGGTTAATCTGCTCCTGTGACCTAGTTATTTTAAGTAGTCACAGGCATCTGGAAGCAAGTACACCAAGCCACATTCAGCAACTCAGAAGGAAAGGAGAAGTGAGACATTAGATGGGTGCTGTGCTTAGAGGTGCTACAGCCTTGGAACATGCATTACAAAGTCAAGCAGAAGAGGAAAATACCTTGGGTTCCAGTTGGAGCCACGTTTCTGAGGCAGCTGGTGACAATACAAAGCATGAGACAGGGCATTTGTTTTTCCAAACTGTCCCCAGTGTCTAATTTCTTGCACCATTCACGTCTCAATCGCCAACACTGGGTGAATTAAAAGAAAGATGATCAATGCTTCTGTGGTTTTGAGCGACCTATCCTTAAACTGAAATTGGCAGTTGGACTGTCCAGAATGCGCTGGCTGAGGGGTCAGTCTGTAGAATGTCCTGGGAGGAAGTGTGGTAGAGGGGAGAGAATTACGGCTTTGCACTGAAGCCGTCTCGGGATCACACCTCAAATATGTCACTTGTTAGCCTGATCTTCCCCAGGCCAGTCATTTAAGCATTGGGTTTCTCATCTGTAAAGATGAGCAATAGCAGGGCACACTTACTATGAGAACTGCAAGGATCAAATGAAATGCCATATATAAAACGTC